TCCTCTGCTCCAAAGCACAGATCTGTGACAGCACAGGCATCCGCTTGCATCTTCAGCCTGTCCTTACCAAGGCTAAGGAAAGCGACCTGGCCTGTTATGCCTCAGGAGAGACACACTGCCCTCTTGTGGTCAGATCCCCCAACTGCTAACCAGATCCTCTTAACACCGGGTGGGTATCTATGGGAAATGATGCAAATCATCAATGTCATGAAGCAAGTTTCACGTGTGTCACCACTCAGAAATGAAGCTGATTAGCAAAAAGTATATCATGAGAATGTAGGGCTCAGGATGACAGCTCATCGTCTCAGCCTATTACTGAGGTATTTTAAATGAACTTGAGATAACTGGTATTCAGTGTTCACTAAAGCAACAGAATCAGTTTACTCCACGAGGGGGGAAAAGTACTCTCTAGAGTCCACAAAATTCTTCCGCCTCTACCTCTCGCACTCTGTGAAATGGCCACTGAGACCCTCAGCCAAATCAACTGCTTAGATTCAGCTCTAATGGAGAAAGATCTCTTTCTATAGGTGAGAGAAAACTTTGCTAAATGCATGACTGCAAGCTCTGCTCCTCCAAGCCTGGCCTTGTTCTATTCTTGTCATTCCAGGAAATATACAGTGCCATGGAGCTAAGTAGAAATGTTATTTTAGTACAAACGGCTAAATTAGACTACATGATTAAACCGGGGGATAATATCACTCAGTTCTTTGCATTAATGTAAACCAAAGGGAAGGCTTTATCCTATAGATTGTGATGAGAAGTTTATGTATGCTCTGAAATCCTCTGGAATCCTTTCTTCTATAATTGTGCTCTACTTATTGGCATGAATTGACAGAAAGGAGCAGAAATGCTCAGAAACACAAGCTATAGAATGCTGCCGTGTAAGCTTCCACTAGGTGCTTTGTTTATTAATATCAAAGTTCATGCTGGGAGCGGGCCTTATGGGGAAACTGTGCTAATGGGTTGCAACTCCCATTGATAACCATGAGAACAAGAGCCGCAGGCAGGTCTGGCTGCACAGGCTGTAACTCCGTGGGAAGAAGTGTGCTCTGGTTAGTGGGATTAGACAAGCTGAGCTAGGCTGCAGCCCTCCTTGGTGTGTGTCAGAACCGAACAGGATGCAGGACATTCTGGACCAGTCTGCTGCACATACAGGCATGCACAGGAACTGGAGCTGAGGACGCGCCTGATGGGGGCTATTGGGGCTCATTCCAACTAGGCTGTAGTTCTTGCTGGTGTGCTTGAGGGCCAAGTGTGTGATGGGCATGGTTTGGCTTAGATGATGACCCAGGCACTTGAAACCCACGTGGAACGATCAGAGTTCCTGGGTCCTGGCTGCAGCTGGCCCAGCCCTGGAGGTTACAGGCATTTGGAAAGTGGAACAGGGGTTGGAAGAGTACACTCTCACTCATTTCTCTCTCTCTCTCTCTCTCTCTCTGTCTGTCTCCCTCTCTCTCTCTCTTTCTTATTTCTCTCTGTACACCTTTAGAAAATAAAATGAGTTCATGTATAAAAACACATAAAGTGACTCTCTGACTCATTCCCTATGGAAGATGACTAGCAAATCACTCACCCTGCTCTATCCCTGCTGCGTGGTTCCTGTACTTACTTTGAAATTTCGTTTGTAGCATTTTTCATGGGGGCCAGCATTGGCAAGCTGTCACCTGAAACACTGCATATCATATGAACACCAGTTCAAGTCCTGGCTACCCCACTTCTGATCCAGCTCCCTGCTAATAAAGCTGGGAAAGCAGCAGATGACCCACGTACTTGGGCCCTGACATGCACATGAGAAACCCAGATGAAGCTTCTGGCTCCTGGCTTCAGCCTGGCTTGGACCATTGTAACCATTTGGAGAGGGAACAAGTGAACAGAATATCTTTTTCTCCCTCTCTGCCTCTCCATTTCTCTTTTCAATTTTGCCTTTTATACAGAACCAAAAAGAAATTTGACAACCATAAATGTCTATATTTTTGTGAGACGCTTTGATAGTTTGACACATGTGTACAGCAAGTACCAAAGAAAAGAGGACTTTATGTTGCTATCTCATTTCATTCTGTTTGAAGCCATCGTGCTGTCTCTCATGGCTCTTCATGAAGTATGTGTTACATTGTGGTGAACTCTCACCACCTCCACCTGCTACTGTGGAACACTGATTCCTGTCTCACTGTGCTTTGCTCCCTGTGGTCCAATTTCCACTGAATTCTCTCCCTGTCCTCTTCCTATTTCTAGTTTCTAGAAATGACTTATCTGTACTGTTTTAAGAGTTGATTTCCTGACTTTGAATCAGCTCAACTCTGGCCCAACAATCATGTAAATGTATATTCCCACTTAGAGCGTACAACAGTTTTCTTTTCACTACATCCTCACATGTTGCTTGTTGTGCTTACAATAATCCATCTAAATAGATGGTATCTCAAGGATCCAGCTACTCGATTGTCACCTGCTGCCTTCATGGTGTTTGTTAGCAATAAGCTGGAATCAGCAGAACAGCACCTACTAATGCTCATGGAAGAGTAGCAGAAAAGAACTCAAGTCCTTAGGCCCTGGTACCCACATGGGAGACACAGACATTGGTTTCACTCCTAGACATTCCTGGACATGTCTTCAGCCAGGCCCAGTCCCAGCCATTGCCGGCTATTCAACAAGTGAGTTAGCAAAAGAAAGATCTACGTCTCTCCATCTCTTTCTCTGTAACTCTGCCTTTTAAACAAATAAATAATAAAGAGGATAATATCAGAGCTCAGAAATATTATCCATCACTACAAGTATAGAAGGATGATGACAGAAGAAATAAAATGGTGAATTAGAACAATCAAGATCTGTAAGACTCGGCAGATTCAAGATGCTCAATTTAGAATATAATATGAAGTGGAAATAATTCAAAACAATCATATAATCTTAATTTTTAATAAAAGTTAACAAAGAAGGAACACCAAATATTGCAAATGACCTATTTCAGCCAGGATGTGTAACTGCATCTGTTTGGTTTGACTTTCATTTGCAGGATATCTTTTTCTACCCTTTCGCTTTCAGACTATGTGTATCCACAGTGGAAGTCTGTTTCTTGTAAGCAGCATATGCAGGCATTTGTTTGCTTATCCAGGCATGATTTATTCGTACAACAGGATTTAAAAGCATTTTTACTTTTTACTTTATATTTAACTGTTCTCCCATACTGTTTTCCCCATAGCTTACATTAATAATTTCATCATCAGAAAAGCCAATACATATATTACTAAAGGATAAAGATCTTTCATGAATTCACTAACCTTGACCTCAACATGTCCTTGGAGGGAGAAAATTCATTTTTGAAAATAAGGTTACCCTTGGAGCTCTGAAACTAACTGAAGACCACTAATTCTCAGGAAGACTTCACTCAAGATGATCTAACATGTACTGGATCACTTAGAAATTGAATTTCTTTCAAATGCTTTTAAATGTCCATATGTTGAAAACAAAATACCAAAAATCCTGACTCAAATATCAAAAAACAGCAGATATTCAGAGTCCATTGAAAACGTTCCCATTTATTCTTTTTTGTTGATTTCTATTTATCAAAGGGCTTGGGATTGTAGCATAGCAATTGAAGCTACCACTTACTCTGTTAGTATCCCATATCAGAAAACTAGCTCAATGCTTTTTTTTTTTTTTTACATATTCCTGCTCCTTAGAGAGTTTGTTTCCTAGTAGGGTGCCCATGGAAAGTTTTGTTGCGACTTGTGCATAACGTAAAGTGTTCTGTTCTGCAATGTTTGTGTTTGAGTGTCAACATAGTTACATAAGCAAAAGATAAAATAAAATTTTAAAAAGAAAAGAAAACCAGCTCAAGTCCCAACCACTCTACTTCCAATCCAGCTTCTGCTAATGTGCCTGGGAAGGCAGAAAAGATGGCCCAAGTCTTTGGACTGCTGCTACCTATTTGGGAGACCAGGATGGAATTGCTAGATCCTAGCAACAACCTGATCAAGCTCTAACTCTTATCACCATTTCGGTAATGAACCACTGAATAAATGACCTACCTGTCTGCCTGTCCCTCCCCTTCCTCTCTTCGTCTCCTATCAATCTTTGTTTTTCTTTTTTTTTTTTATCTTTTTTTAAATTATATTTTTGACAATCTTTACATAGTTAATTGGGGCAAAAAGGTTCAAGGGCTATAGGAAAGTGGGTAAGACTATTATTTCCATATTGTTTCCTTCATGTTTAAAGGGGGGTATTAAGGGAGAAGGCCCACCCAATTTCCCACCCTCCTCAGGTCCCGGTTGTAGGGTATGCTCCAAAGTTCTTGCTCAAGTGGTTTTGATAGTTCACCAGTTATGAATCGCTGCCAATCTTGCCACTCCAAGCACGATGAGGTCTTTGAAGAATCCACCGATTCCTATCAATCTTTGTCACTCTGTCTTTCAAATAAATAATCTTTTTAAAAGGGGGCAGGAGGAGGCATAGATAGAGAGACAGATGTTACACACGTTGGTTCACTCCCCCAAATGACTGCAGGAGTCCTGTTGCAGGTTTGGGTACAGGCTGCAGGTGCAGGGGGAGCACTGTGCACTTGCTGCACAGAAGTAGGTGGCTGAGTCGGCAGGATGGGCAGCTGAGATGTGCAAGGAGACGTGTTTCTCCTTCTTCTTCATCAGCACAGTGAACCTTTGGTCTTCTTTCTTGTCCTGAGTAGAAATAATATTTATAAGCAACCTGAGACCTGCTCCAGGTTCTTGCTTATACCAGTGTAAGGTGTTGGAGGTACTGTCTGTGTACGTGCAGTTGATGACACAGTCGTCTCCCTCCTGGACACTCAGGAAAGTAGGACTCTGCTCCACTTTCTCTCCTCTGCTCATCCCTGTGCAAAAGAAGTCAGACAAGTCTATGATCGTCATGTCATCATTCCTCCCTAAATATTTTCCATAATAATTTCAGGCAACCTGAAAAATGCCAGCCTCCTCCTCAGTCTTCTAATGAACATTTATTAAACCTCTTGTTTCTCAAAGCTCCCAACTCACAGTGCAACTGCAGCCACAGGAACAGGAAGAAAGGTCCAGAAGGTGTCCCCATGGTCCTATCCATCAGAACCTGAACCATCACCCAGGCAAGCTACGTCTCTTATGGCTTAGCTTCTTTCCTCCCGAGCACAGAAGATTCTGAAACTGCCTACACAGGCACCTGTTCCTATTTTTAGCCTGCTCTTACACAAGTCTACCAAAGAGAGCCTGTTCTGACTGTGAAGGACTGTGCTATTTTAACGATTCAGGGGAAGTCAGTGGGGGAGGAGGGAACGTTGGGAATGAAGGGAAGGTGAAGGGAAATTCCAGAACCTATGAAATTGTATTATAAAATAATAAAATAAATAAATAAATCTATTTTTTATGAGAAAATTTTTAAACAAATTTTTTAAAAACCTGTTCTCTATTATGCATCAGCAGAGATAGGCTGCCCTCTTGTGGTCAGATCCCCAATACTAAACCACCTTGCAAGGTCCTCTTTCATCCCAGTAGGCATCTTTTTGAGAACATACAAAGCACCAATGAATGAAATAAAAAACAAGATCCAAATGTGTCTCCAGTCAGAAATGCATTTTGGCAGAGAGCAAATGCATTGAAAATGCAGGATTCAAATTTGTTCATCTTCTCAGCACACAATTGAAACAACTGAAATGAATCTGAGGTTCTTGGTTAGCAGTGTTTACTCAGCTACAGGATTAGTGTATATGACCACAAAAATGCTTGATCCGCAAACCAATTGGAAATCAAAATCCTTCCAGCTCTTAACACTCCTACTATTTAAACTGGACACAGATTTCCTCAGACAAATCCACCATCTTGATTCTGTGTAGCAGAGACAAATCATCTTGATTCAGTCTAGCAGAGAAAATCTTTCTTTAGATGATTTGTAATCACAGAGGTTGCAATGAAAGAAACAACCTTGCTAAATATGTCAGATATGCACACTGCAGTCTCTGTTCCTTCAACTCTGGCCTTGCCCTGACCTTGCCACTCCCAGGAAATGATGCCATGTATCAAAGGAGGAATATTTCCTTACTAAAAATGACTACTTTGTAGAGAAACAGATTAGAGAGGCGATAGGTTTTCATGTGTAAATTGTATTGGTGCAACCAAAGGGAAGGATAAACCTTGTAGGTTGTAATGAGAAGTCTGAAGTAGACTTGGAAATTCCATCTTCTGGGAAAACAGATTATCTCGGGCAATGGATATGTGGCTTACAAGTTGGCAAGAATTGACAGAAAACAGTAGACACTCGCAGAAGCATCAGGCTGCAGGTTGACATAAGGGAAATAAATGGGAGTCTCCTGCAGGTGCTCTAGTGTGTCGTAACATCAGTGAGTGATCTCTCCTCAAAAGCGACCACTGAACGGTCCACAGTGCAATGACCCCTCCTGGGAATGGTGAGCACTTTGATTTCCCTAGATTCCACAGCCAGTGTCTGAAATAACTGTATGAAATGTCAACTGACCCTGTACTCCTCTGAATCCTCTCAGACTAAGTCTCCCCTGTGTCAACATCTCATATCTTTAGGGTCATTCCAGCAACAATAGACCTGGGCAAGGATAAGTCAATGCCTGTGAGTCTAACAGGCACATGAGAATTTCTCTCCGTAAAACACAGTATCACCCGTTGTTGGAAGCAAAAGTTCCCTCCTAGTGATTGGAGCTCATGCATTAAATATAGAAATTTAATATGCCAACATATCAATTACACAGATTTACATTCCTAATATAAAAAGAAATGGACACATTTCAAGATTCACATAGATGCACACATTAAGCGTACTTACAAATATTCTCAATTTGAGATTACTGTTCAGGATGGGCCTTGTGGTACAGTGGTGAAGCCCCTGCTTGGGACAACAACAGCCCTTTCGTGTTCTTGGGATGCAGTCTCACCACCACTTTCAGTCACTTCCTGCAAATGCACAACCTGGGCCACTGCAGACTTGGGTCCCTGCCACCAGGAGGGATGCCTGGACAGAATTTCTGTTCTTGGCTTTGATCTGGCCCAGAGCTAACTATTGTGCACATTTGTAAAATGACCACAAGATGTGAGATTTCTCTCTCTCTACACCTTTCTCTTTGTCATTTAATCTTTCAAGTAAACAACAATACAAAATAAAATTATGACTCCTTCACTCATTCTACATAGATAATTGCCAAGTCAGTTATCCTAACTCAATGCTGCTAGATTGTTCCTGCACTGACTAGAACTTCTAAACTTTTTATTTTTATTAACAGTCATAACTGTCCATATTTATGGGAGGAAATGTGATTTCTACACATGTGTACAGCAGGTACCGATGAAAAGATAATTAGCCTGTATATTTATTTCTCTCTGTAGCCTTTACAATCTTTCTTCTAGTTCTACATAAAATATGTATTACATTATGGTGAACTACAGTTATCCTACTGTGCTTTGGAACAAAAAACTCACTCTGACTCTGTTTTGTTTCCTGTTGTCCAACTTCCTACTGTCCTCTCCTCTACCTTGCTAATCTTTAATAATAGTGGATCCATACTTTCTTCAAGTTGACTCTTTTTGCAAGATTTATTTATTTTTATTGGAAAGACAGATTTACAGAGAGGAGAGACACAAAGAAAAATCTTCTATCCTCTGGTTCACTTCCCCAAGTGGCTGCAATGGCCAGAGCTGAGCTGATGGAAAGCCAGGAGCCAGGACCCTCTTCCGGGCCTCCCACATGAGGGCAGGGCCCCAAGGCTTTGGGTCATCCTCCACAACTTTTCCAACCACAAACAGGGAGTTAGATAGAAGAAAGTGGAGCAATTGAGACACAAACTGGCACCCAAATGGGATCCCAGCATGTGCAAGACAAGGACTTTAGCCACTAGGCTACTACACCAAGCCCTCAAATTGACTTTTTAGCTAACACATCTTGGCTATAACATGCAATATTTGCTTTTCTATGTCTCTTGCTTCACATAACATAATGTCCTGTATTTGCATCCATTTTGTTGCAAATTGCCCTGTCCAGCAGGACAGTCAACGGGGGTCGCAACCACCTAGGAGAGATTGGGGGACAAGAGACACGAAGAATGGACAGCAAGATGGGATGTCTGATCAAGCTGTCAGTTTATTGATTTTAGTTGAGGGTTTTTATACTCTTCAGTAACTAAGGCTCAGGGAGGAAAGGAGAAACTAGGACGCAAGCCATGGTCTCCAGACTGATTGTTCTTGAGCAGCCACCATATCCACAATAGTAGCCAGCATATCAACAATAGCATAGGTAATCAGTAACAAGATGTCGGCAGGTACAGCATAAATCACATTCTAAAACAGTTGCTACAAACAATTGAAGCTAAGCGTGTGATTAGTTTCATAACTTCTTTCCCAAGCATCTAGCCAGCCGGGGATTTTCCACTGGCCCATAGTTCTATATTCAAAATGGCTTCAGTGTGGCTACAGTACACGGCTCCTGACAGCAAATGACAAGATTTCATTCTTTTTGTGAATGAGTAGCATTCCATCGTGTGCCTATTTCACTGATCTTCACTCATTCATCCCTTGATGAACCCTTAAGCTGACTTCACATCTTGACTGTTGTAAATTGTGCTGTTGTAAATGTGGTGGCTCATGTGTCCATTTGATATGCCCATTTTCTTTTCTTTAGAAATGTACTAAGAATTGGTATTCCTGAATGATATACAAGATCTGTTTTTCAGTTTTTGGTGGAGCCTTCACAGTGTTCTTCATAATGACTGTAGCAATTTGCATTCCCAGCCCTAATGTGAAGTGCTCCCTTTTCTCCACATCCTTGCCTGTGTTTGGCATTTTTTCCCTGATAGTTGCTTTGGTGAGGTGATTGGGCCTCACGTTTCCACATGGATTTGCCAACAGTGAGGCCATGCTTATGCTCATCATTCAGTTTCTAGCACCGAGATGTACTTTAGGGATTCCTCTGCCATCTCAGCAGACTCCATCTCAAGTTTCCCAATGGTTCTTTGGTGGATCCCACCACACTTGTGGATTTGATGGCCAATAGTGATAGATTTACCTATCTACATTTCCAATAATAACACTGTCTTCCTTTTCCATTTGGCTTTGATTTAGCAGGAGTTCTCAAAATGCCTATGTTCTGATACCAAACTCATTGGAATAGATAACCAATCAGCTTTAAGGCCAATTTTGCATGTCAAAGACACTTGATCTGTACAATTCTCATAGAATCACTATTTACAAACTATTCATATCAAACACACAGACACTGACCATCTACAACTGGTGTGTGGATAAACAGTCATATAGCCATTCAATGAATTTCATTTTTAAGAGGAGGAAAACCTCCTACATGCTAAAACACCATACCATGAGAATACTCTGCAGATGGAGATAAGCAAAACATAAAAGAACAAACACTTTGTGATTACACTTTCAAGAAAAAGAGAATATGCAAATTAATACATGCTGTTTACCTGCAATAAGAGCAACAATTACAGTGTAAGACAAGGCCTTTGTAACTTTCTTAACATCAATACTTCTCTATAAGACATTTAGAAAGTCAACATCTACTTTTCTTATAAAATCTGTTTGCTACTTCCTATGCTGCACAAGCTATCTATGTAAAGGCCATATCTGAACCCAGAAATACTGCGTTTGATTACAAAAACAAGAGAATAACGGCAGGAGAAATAAAATAGTGCCATGTAACAACTAGGTTCAATGGTCCAGCATTGTGGTGCAGCATGTTAAGCCACTTTGTGAAACATTGGCATCCCTTTCCAGTGTCAGTTCAGCTCAAGCGACACCACTTCTGACAGAGTTATCGATGCTCCTGTGAAGGTCCATAACATGGTTCCTGTTGCCCAAGAGGGAAGCTAAAATAGAGGTTTTTTGCTTCCAACTTCAGCCTAGTCCAGACCTTGATACTGCACTAATCAGGGGGTGAGCCAGCAGGTGGAAATTTATCTGTGTGAGTGTCTGTGTCTTCCACTGTGCAGCTCTTTTTGCAAATGCAAGAATAATGTTCAGAAAAGAAAAGAGAGGCAGAGACAGAGACTGACTGAGAGTATGGGAAATCGCCTGGTTCATCCCTCAGACAGCTGAAACAACCCTCTGTGGGTTTGGGTAGAGGCTGCAGGTGCCCGTGCAGGGCTGTGCTTTGCTGCACAGAAGTACACAGCAGAGTCTGCAGGGTGGGCAGCTGAGAGGTGCAGGGAGAAGTGTCTGGATTTCTCATTCATGTGGACAGTGAGTCTTTGGTCTTCTTTCTTGTCCATATTTGAGAGAATGTTTATAAGAAACTGGAGATCCTTCCCAGGTTCTTGCTTATACCAATAGAAGTAGAAGAAGCCACTGTCTGTGTACGTGCAGTTGATGACACAGTCGTCTCCCTCCCGGACACTCAGGAAAGCAGGGCTCTGCTGCACCTGCTCTGCTCCACTCACACCTGTGCAAAGGGAGAAGTCAGGAAAACCGTCAAGCCCACATTCCCTGGAGGTCACACTGATTTCTCAAAGTAATGTTAGGCAGTCTGGAAGAGGCAAGTCTCCCCTGAGAATGCAGGGGTTTTGGTTTTTTTTAAGATTTATTTATTTTTCTGGGAAAGACAGATTACAGAAAGGAGAGACAGAAAGATCTTCCATCCTCTGGTTCACTTCCCAAGCAGCTGCAACGGCTGAACCAGCCCCTAAGAAGGAGGGAACCAGGAGTTTCCTCCAAGTCTCCCACATGCATAGCGTTCCAAGGCTTTGGGACAATCTCTACTGCTTCCCAGGCCACAAACAGGGAGCTGTATGGGAAGTGCAGCAGCTGGGAAACATACTGCACCCATATGCGATCCAGGTGGTTGCCGGCCAGGATTTAAACACAAGACTATCGCGCCACGCCTCCTCCCTTACTCCTTCGCCCACACACAGATTTCTAACGAATATTCCCCCTAAACTCCCGACTCACAGTGCAGCAGCCACAGTAACAGGAGGGTAAGTCCTGCAGGGGTCCTCACGGTTCTGTCCATCGGGACCTGCAGTCTCTCAGCCAGGAACACAACGTCTACTGTCAGTTCCTCTTCCTTTCCTCCTAAACGCAGGGGCTCCTTAAGCTGCTTGCACAGACATCTGCTTCTGTCTTGAGCCTGCTGTTACAGAAGTCAACCCTGAGCAATCGATAAGGCCCACGTCCTGCAGGAGCAGGAACACTCTGCCCCCTTGTGGTCATATCCCAAATTGCTAAACCACACACAGAACTTTTTTTTTTTTTTCGTTTTCGTTTTGTTTTGCTTTGCTTTGCTTTTGTTTTTGTTTTCATGATACAGTTCGTTAGGCTCAGAGGATTCTGCCTTCCACCCTCCCCATCCCAATACCCCATTCCTCTCCATATTATTACAATAGATTAAGTACTTCAACAATAGTCACAAGTCCATCGTTCTGCTAAGTGCATCCTGACATTGTAGGTCTAGACAATGGCAGAAATTCCAATGTCTTACTGTCAAGATATATTTAACAATTTCATTGGGAACCTTATATTAGGAGTAGAGATGTATAATGCAATGAGTATTCACTTCTTGGTATGCTAGTCTCCGTTATACAGTTCCTATAAGTGTATATATATACATTATATTTTATACATGTATTTATATTTATATGTGTGCTTACCTATGTATCTATCGGTCTTGTATTTTGCAGGAAGGTTGCCTTATATCAGAGAGAGATGATATATGACATTTGTCCTTTGGAGATTGGTTTATTTTACTGAACATCATAGTCTCTAGTTGAGACCATTTTGTTGTAAATGATAGAATTTCATTCTTCTTAATGGATGAGTGGTATTCCACAGAGTAGATGTGCAACAGTTTCTTTATCCAATCCTCTTTCAATGGGCATTGGGGTTGTGTCCACATCCTTGCTATTGCAGATTGCACTGCTATAAATACAGGATTACAGGCCTTGTAATGACAGGCATTGTTCATATGCAAATATCACTTCCTTTGGATATATTCCCAAAAGTAGGTTAGCTGGGTCCTACAGTAGATTGATTTTCAGTTCTCTTAGCATTCTCCATATGACTTCCATAGCAGCAGTACTAGCCTACACTCCCACCAACAGTGAAAGTGGGTACCTTTCCCCCCACATCCATGTCGATGGTTGTTGTTAGTAGATTTCTAAATGAAGCCAATCTCACTGGAGTTAGGTAGAATCTCAGTGTGGTTTTTATTACTATTTCCCTGATAGCTAGAGAGCCTGCGCATTTTTCATATGTCTACATAACAGAACACATTTAGGATACCTAAGATACACACATTTTTTATTGTATGAAACTGTAATAATAATAACACTAAAAATCACAAAAATGAAGTCACATAAGTTAGGGTAACATCTACAAGACATTTCAGAAAGTCTGCATCTGGTTTTCTACTAAATGTTTTTCTCAGAAGCAAAATGACTTGCTTGTATACTACATATTGAAAGGATGCCAGATAGCATCCCTGTCATTCTTAGCAAATCACACCAATAATCCTAGTCAGAAAATTCTCACACTGTGACAGTGACACAGTGACATAAGGAGATGGCAGTGTGAGAACTACTGAGGTCCAGAACCAGATAGCCATGGGAGGCTCTCCAGGGGGTGCTCCAGCTGGGGTGTCAACACACACGCCTATGGCACCATGCATCCTAGCCTTGGGCTTCACAAATGATTCCACTAAACCCCAACAGCTTGGAATGCAGCTGGAGAATTTCTAAGAAGCCCATTATCATTAGAGCTCAAAGAAACTTTATCCTACCTGTTTGAAACACACACACACACACACACACACACACACACACACACAATCCCTTTTAATTAATGAGGGAAAAGGAAGACATGTGGGACCCCTAAGAACATGCACTCCTCAAAAGCAGAACAACTGAAGAGAGGACATGTGACTAATGAAACAAATTGTTCTGAGCCCAGCAGGGAAGCCTAGCACTAAAGTCCTTTCCTCACGTGCACCGGGATGCCATGTGGGCACCGGTTCTAATCCTGACAACCCCATTCCCCATCCAGCTCCCTGCTTGTAGCCTGGGAAAGCAGCTGAGGACAGCCCAAAGCCTTCGGACCCTGCACCCCTGTGGGAGACCTGGAGGAAGTTCCAGGTTCCTGGCTTTGGATCGCCACAGCCAGGAGCCATTGCAGCCACTTGAGGAGTGAATCAGCAGATGGGAAACCTTCTTCTCTGTCTCTCCTCCTCTCTGTATATCTCAATTTCCAATAAAAATAAAAAATAAATCTTTAAATATAAGTAAATAAATAAATAGTTCCTATAGTAGGAAAAATTTTAACTTTTATGCATTAAAAATGTAGAAAAAAGATTGAAAATCAACAACTGAGACCAGGAAAATATTATTTTTCACCACAAATACAAGATAGTGCTTGCAGAAGTAATACAGCAATGACACACAAAACAGTGAAGATCAGTGATTTTTAAAATTTATTTTTCTTTGGAAGGCAGATTTACAGAGAGAAGGAGACAGAGAGAGAGAAAGAAAGAGAGGTCTTTCTCGCACTGGTTCATTCCCCAAATGGATTCAACAGCTGGAGCTGGATCAGACTGAAATCACGGCTTCCACTGCCTCTCCAACATGGGCGCATGGGCCCAAGTGCTTGGGCTATCCTCTGTTGTTCTTCCAGGCACATTAGCAGGGATCAGAAGTGAAGCAGCCGGGACTCAAACCAACACGCATATAGAATGCCTCTACTGCAGGCAAAGGCTTAACATACTATACCATGGCATTGAATCAGATTAGGTTTTAAAAGACTCCTCAAGTTGCTGGCATTTGTGTTGTGTTGTGGTACAACAGCTTAAACCTCTGCTTGTGACACTTGGATCCCATATTAGAGGTCAGTTGGAACGCTAATTGCTCTTTCTGATCCAACTCCCTGATACTGTGGCTAGGAGAGCAGGGCGTATGACCCAAGTACTAGGGCTCCTGCCACTCATGTTTCACATAGGGGTGGACTTCTGGCTTTCAGCTTGGTCTACCCAGCTCTGGCTGGTGAGACCATTTGGGGAGGGAACCAGTTGATTAACAATGTCTCTCTCTCTCTCTTTCTCTCTCTCACCATGCCTTTCAATTAAACAAATCAATAAATATTTTTATAAAAGATTGAACTATAAACTACCAAAAAAAAGAAAAAATTCAACGCTATAAGAAGAGAAGAGAAAAGAAAAGATTCAGCATGTGGCATAACGAGTTAGACTCTTGAAATACTGCCATATTATATGGGTTCTGGTTCAAATCCCAAATGCTCCACTTTTGATCCAACTCCCTGCTAAAGTACCTGCAAAGCAACCTAAGATGGTCCAAATCCTTGGGCTCTTGTCACCCACACAGGAGACCCAGCAAAGCTCTTGGCTTCAGTTTAGTCCAGCCCGAAAGAGGAGGCCATTTGAGGAGTCAACCAGCAGACGGAATATCCTTTTTCTCTCTCTCTAATTCTGTCTTTCAAATGAATGTTTTTAAAAAGATTCAGCAAATAAAAAATGGGTAAAATGGGATATGATATTAAGTGGAAATAAGACAAAATACTGGTGTGTATGATCTCAATTTAATTATATTTTAATTAAGTGAGACTACTAAATATTAGTCATGATTTCTTTGTATGACAGATTATAAGACAATTTAATTTGTTACATTTTGCTGATTTCACATATGGTGCAGTTAATAATTCCATAATCAGAAGAACTCTATAAGTAGTATTATGAAAAGATAACTCACCACTAAGAAGAATGTCTCTGAAACTGACCTTAGGATGTCCCCAGGAAAGGACAATTCTTAATAGCACCGGTAATATCAACCCTAAAGCCTTTTGCTCTAACCAAAGATTGCCAACTCCCAAAAAAGGGGGGGAGGGATTGATTCATAATATTCTAACAATTAATGAAGCATTTACAAGCTGTCTTTCATAAAAGATGGCTTAGCATGTCCACATAATAGCAATCAAACATAGAACAATCCATAACTCAAAGCACAAGCAGAGATGAGCCTGTCTTCAGCCCCATTGCAGGTTTGTGTGGAAGCTGCAGGTGCATGGGGAGCACTGTGCTTCTACTGCACAGAAGTAGGTGGCTGAGTCGGCAGGATGGGCAGCTGAGATGTGCAGGGAGACATGCTTCTCCTTCTTGTTCATCAGGACGGTGACTCTTTGGTCTTCTTTCTTGCCTTGCGTAGAAATAATACTTACAAGGAACCGCAGACCTTCTCCAGGTTCTTGCTTATACCAGTGTAAGTAGGTGGCGGCACTATCTGTGTACGTGCAGTTGATGACACAGTCGTCTCCCTCCCGGACACTCAGGAAGGCAGGACTCTGCTCGACCTGCTGTGCTCCACTCACACCTGCGAAAAGGAGAAGTCAGACACACTCGTCAGATCATCACTCCCCAAATTTTGCATTGTTTTTCTGCAAATATTCAAGTAATTGAAAGAGGCCAGTCTCATCCTGAAACTTCTAACGGACGTTTCCTAAGCCCCCTGCTCCTCCAAAGCTCCCAACTCACAGTGCAGCTGCAGCCACAGGAACAGAAGCAAACGTCCAGTAAAAGTCCTCATGGATCTGCCCAGCGACACCTCCAGACAGGCGAGCTACGACTCTTAGGAGTTGTCCCCTCCTTCTTTTCAAAGCGCAGGGTTTTCTTAAACTGCCCAGGCGTCTGCTTCTGTTCTGAACAAAAAGACTGTTCTGTCACGCTTCAACAGAGACGCTCTGCCCTCTTGTGGTCAGATTCCCAACTGTTAAACCACCTACCAGATTCTCCACCTACCAGATTCTCCACCAGCCTTAAATCTATGGGGAGCTGACACAAACCAACAACAAATCAACAAGCAAAGATCTAAGCTCATCTTCCAATCTAAAGGATAAACGTCAGCATCATGCAAACATAATGAATTCTATATGGGTTCAAAATTGTACTTCATCATCTCTAAACATGCTTTAATTCTTTAAGATTTATTTGTTTTTGTAAGGTAGAGCTACAGAGAAAAGAGGAAGAAACAGACAAAGACAAGGGCTGGGCCAGGCCAAAGCCAGGAGCAAGAGACTCACCCAGATCTCCCACATAGGTTCTGGGGTCCAAACACCTGCGGCTGCTTTCCCATGTGCACTAGGAGGGAGCTGGATAAGAAGTGGAGCTACAGGTGCCCATATGGGATGCTAGTATTCCAGGCAGTGACTTAAGCTATCACTCCACAACACTGGCCCCCTTTGAATTTGAAGCTACAGGGTATGCATAAGCAAGAAGCTGCAATCAGGAGTAAGCAAGGAAAGAATCCCATGCATTCCAAATTGGAATACAGACATCTGATTCAGCTCCTTGCTAAGGTGCTTGGGAAAGCAGCAGAGGATGATCTGGTACCTGGGTATTTGCTACCCACATGGGAGACTTGATAGAGGTTCCTGCCTCCCAGGTTAAGATGGACCTAACCCCGGCCATTAGAGCCACTTGAAGACTGAACCAGTATATGGAAGATCAGTCTGTCTTTCTTGTGCTCTGTGTGTGTGTGGTTCTGTGATTTAAATAAATTAATGAATCACTTTTTAAATTGTTTTTCATTCATTGTCTATTATGAAAACATTCTGCAGCTGTATCACCATAAACCATGAGTTTGTGGGGGCTAAGACGTAGGAAGCATTATTGGAACTGGTATGGTAGAGTAGCCAGTTAATATGATGTGCTGACAGCTCATACGGGTACCTGCTGAAGTCCCAGCTGTTCCACTTCTAATCCAGCTCCCTGACAACATGCCTGAGAAAGCAGTAGAGGATGGCTCACCATGTGGGCCCCTGAGCCCACCCTGCAGACCCAGAAGAAGCTACTGGTTCTTGATTTCAACCTGACCCAGCCTTTGACATTGTGGCCATTTGAAGAGTAAACCAGCATATGAAAGGTAAACCTCTCTTTCTCTCTATAACCTTCTTGCTTCAATTCTCCTTTCAGATAAATTAGTTTTTAAAAAAATATAGAGTGCAAAGATTAACAATGTAAAAACGTGAGCTCTGGGGCTCGTGCTCTGGCATAGTAAGCTAAACCGCTAGCTGAGGACCAGCATCCCATACGGTTCCAGTCCATCCCAGCTATTCCTCTTCTAATCCAGCACCCTGCTTATGTCCTAGGAAATCAGCTGAGGAATGGCTCGAGACCTTGCACCACTCAATCCATGTGGGAGACCTTGAAGAAGCTCCTGGCTTTGATGGGGTCTAGATCTGGCTATTGTGGTCATATTGAGAGTAAATCAACAGATGAAAATTTTTTTCTCTCTCTTCTCTCTCTCTCCCTTTCTTTCTCTATGTAACTCTGCCCTCTACCTTTCAAATACAAATAAAATACATCTTAAAAAAAAAAAACACTTTAAGGGTTCAGCAGGGTTGCCTAGTAGCTGAAGTCCTTGCCTTGCACACTCTGGGATCCCATACGGGCGCCGGTTCTAATCCCAGCCACCTGCTTCCCATCCAGCTCCCTGTTTCTGGCCTGGGAAAGTAGTCGAGAACAGCCCAAAGGCTTGGGAGCCTGAACTCGCATGGGAGACCCAGGGGAAGCTCCTGATTCCTGGCTTCGGACCAGCACAGCTCTGGGCATTGCAGCCACTTGGGGAGTAATTCAATGGAAGGAATATCTTCCTCTCTGTCTCTCCTCCTCTCTGTGTATCTGACTTTCCACTTAAAAAAAATCTTTAAAAAGAAAAGAAAAGAAAACTTTAAGAAATACAAGCTCTTCCTTTTCAATACTGTATGTGACATTTAGTAACTTGGCCTTGAAAAATTACATAACTTCTATAAGCTTCTTTGCTTTGTCCTAAAAAAGAAAGAAAAAAATAAAGATACCACAGTTTCCACCCAATAAGATGATGTGCAAATTAAATCACACCAAGGAGTTTGTACTGTGCTCGTCACATGTATGGTCCACTAAACATTAGCTACCTTGCTATTATTTTTTCAGGACTACATTGCACTAAAGGTCACAAATGCAAACATGGCTTTTCACCTTCCTTAAAATTTCATCTATACACTGGTATTAACAGGTAAGTTATCCCAGCAGCAACTTCATACAATGTCTCTCCATAGTTGTCTATTCAAGGCCAGTCTCATTGACATTCTACCATTGACCTTGAGTTGGACTCTTCCACAGGCTACTTGCACATGGACTTGACACCTCCCTTATTTCTAGAAACACTGAGTACTCATCTCAGCATTCTGCACTTATCCTCATAGAAGAGAAGCAGTAAAACATTGCCAGCACACATGAGGAAACCCTATGCTGTGCAGTGCTGCTGTGCAATCCTCTGCATGTCAGAGACTGGGGCTGCAGTTTGAGTGCAGGCAGCAGGTGGCCTGGGAGCACTGTGCATCCGCCGCACAGAGGTAGGTGCCTGAGTCTGCCAGCTGGGAGGCTGTGATGTGAAGGGTGCTGTAGCGCTCCTTGAAGTTAACCACTGACTTTAACCTTCCATTCTCTTTCATTTCTGAAGTCAGAAAAAGTAGACTGACCAGGCCGCCCCCAGGATGCTGTCGGAACCACTGAATGCTTGTCACAGTGACAGAAAAACCGCAGCGCAGGGTAGAGTTGGCTCCCTTCAGGACATTCAGGACTGAAGGACTCTGCTCCACCTGCATCCCCCTCACCCCTGCATGGGTAGAGAAAGAAAACACAGAGCATGTCACAGGGGAATGAGAGAAACGGCTTCCAAAGAGTAACATGTCCCAAGAAGCACACATGAGAGGGGAGGACGGTGCAGAAAACCCAAGTCAGCTCTCACTTCGTTCCGTCCCACCATCAGTTGTGCAACATCCTCAAATCCCCAAGTGAGGTGGCCGGAACTCACAGCCAAGCTGGATCCACAGAAGTCCTAAAAGAGCTCCCAGTCTCTTCTCCATGGCTGCTTGCCTGCTGACTGCCAGCTGTGAGGAGTGCTAAATCTTGGGTTTAGACAAACTTCTTACAATCAACAGATTCCCCAAGAACCAATCACACTCGCACAGGAAATTCTGCTGTGAAGAGAAAAAGCAGGTGGATGTGTTCTATCTATCGACGTGTGTGTGTGTGTGTGTGTGTGTGTGTGTGTGTGTGTGTGTGTGTGTGTGTGTGTTGCAGAAGGAAGGCAGATTTAGGATTGTGGGGCAGGTAGGAGCAGGAAGAGGTACTACCTCCAACCCTCAGAGTCTTTTTTCTGAGAACGCGTTAGACGAGGAAGCTGGAGACTCGCATGGAAGAAGAGTGAGAGCACAGCAAGGAGAGAATCCGGGCCTTCCTCTGGGTCACTGCATCCATGAGTCACAGTTTCTAAGCAGGACATGTTGTTGAACAAAGAGCTGCAAAATTCATGTTATTTATATGAAATGTCTAACAAAGGACTACAGTTTCATGGTACATTATTTATTAGTTGTGTTTCTCAAAAAGTGTCTACAAACAAAAAAGATTTGAATGATTTTATTAACTGGTAAATGTGGCTATGTTTATACATGAACTTGTACCTACAATAAGACCTAGTTGGAGAAAAAGGAAATAGGATTTATGAAAGACACCTACCCTGGTCTCACCCCTCTCCCTCCTAGCACCATGCATACCCTCCACATGCTACTTCTATTCTGTGATTACAAGGAAAGGTCAGACTTTTTTTGCAATTCACACCAAGTGCTTCATCTTTCTGCTTCCTGTATTCTTTTCCTATTCATCTTCCTTTTCTCCTCTCTTCCCTTTTTGTTCCTTATTTCACCATTTCTTCTTTCCTTTTCCACAGTGTTGTTATGGACAAGAATTTCATCAGAGTGCTGAAGAAATGTCTAAAGGAGTAGCATAGAAGCTCATTTTAAGCACGTCTAGTTATCAAACCTAGGATATGGATAGAGAGATATGTGTTTTATAGATTGTCTGAATCTCAAGAGAGGAGAGAGACACAGATCCAGACTCTTAACCTCAGTGCCACTCGAGGACTGTCTGTGATCCGCATTGAGCCAGCGGTGGTCAAACGCAGATCTCAACTTCGGGGTTTTTGGAGATGATGAAGCTAAAGCGACAGAGTTCAGAAAAGAACAGCAGCAAACCGTTGAAAATCTCTCTGTGTGCTCACTGATTGATCTGATCATGCACTCTTCCGCTCCATGCCATAGCTGGAATTAACTTTCATTTTTCCTTTCATTTTTCCCCCTATTCACTTTTTAAAGTTATGACTTACAACCCAGCACCTGGGACCTGAAGTAAAGCTCTAGAGCCCAAGACTTAAAACGCCCCCTCGTGGATTTAAGTCGACACCGCAGGTCATAGCTGCACCCACCCATCCCTGCCTGTTTGGTCTCAGGTGGCAGGGCCATCTCCACCCAAAACTTGACCTGACATCATCCCCTCTGCAGTGATACGTGGAGCAGATGCAGTTCCCAGTCTGAGACAAACAGTTTTCTGATCTCATGAAGTGACTTGTTCTCACGAATTTTTGACTCTTAGAAGAGCTAGGAGACCTGTCTGCACAGGAGCTAAGCAGTTGAGTATCCACTGCCACACATGTCCTCACAGAGCATGGACTCTCCTAAGAATCCTCCAGTAGCACCTGGCCACCAAAGCCCCACAGTTAAGGCTTTCTCGGGTGGAGGGGGGCGTCCCTGTTCCTAAATCCAGCCTCTTGGGCTGGCATCCTAGCATGGTAAGCTAATCTTCCACCTGTAAGCGCAGGCATCCCACATAGGCACCACTTCGTGTCCTGGCTGCTCCACTTCCAATTCACTCCCTGCTTATAGCCTGGAAATGAAGCAGAGGACGCTCCTGGACCTTAGGCCCCTGATTCCATGTGGGAGATCCAGAAGTGGCACCTAGCTTCGGATCAGCTCAGCTTTAGCTGTTACGGCCACATAAGGAGCTGATGGAAGATCTCCCTCTATCTCTCCTTTCTCTCTATTTCTGCTTTTCAAATAAAACATTAATTTTAAAAAATCCGGCTGTAACATCTTGTATACCTGGGAGCAGGTTCTTTCTACCCTGTGCAGTTGGAGAAGCCAGAGTCCCTGAGTGGGGATGGCATGGAGCACAGAGACCCTGAAAAAAGAGAAGAGGGGTGACTGGGTCCAGACCTGGATTCCCACTTGCCTGCCGCATGGCTGCTGTGTCGAGGAGATCTCCCCAGCCATAGAAGAAGCACAAGGCGCCCGGTCCCAGTCCAGCTGCAATCCTGAGCTCCTGGGGACCGGGCGGTTGGAATCGGGGCTCTCTCACTCAGGATTGTACCATTTCAGAAATCACTCAGGAAGGATTCAGAATGAAGGGGGCTGAGTAACTCCCTCTCTCCTGGAACCATCTGTAGCCATCCATAGTCATACCTAGTCATACCATCCACAGAGGCACAGTTTTTGTGGTTCTTATGATTTTAGAGATAAGATACGATTTGCGGATGTTTGGGCATTTCTTCCTACCTTAGTATGCAAGACGGTGACCCTCACGGTCCCTACAGTTCATCACAGGCATGAATAGAGGGAGAAACTAAGAGACTATTCAGAACAAGAGGATTGGACAAGCACAAAGGTCTCAGTCACTGTAACACACTCCACTGAAAGCACCAAAATCATTTCAAGGGCCTGGAAATAAGGATTAACCCAGGCTTAGTTTGGGGAGTGAAACTGGACAGAACCAGAATGGAGCATCATGACAGCTAAAATACAAAGCACACCGATGCTGCCAACACAAGAAAAGGAAATCTGGAGCAGGCCTCGCAATTAAAGTTTCCCCTGTCCGTCATCGGAGTGCCTGAGCTAATCACTGGATCCAGCTCCTGAGGCCAGCTTGTCAGCAACCAGGCAACTACGATGGCTCAAGCAGGTGCACTCCCACTTCCCTCCAGGGAGTCCTGAATGATGGCTCAGTGTCAACAAGGCCAATTGGGAATCAAAAGCTCTACCCAGCTCCTTCTCTACATTACCTCTGTTCTCTCTCCTACTTAATCCACAATAGGGCAAGAGGGGTGGGGAGGAAGAAAGAAGTGAAAACCAGCTAGGAGAGATAGAAATGGTAAGGAAATGTTCAAACACGCATGGGATGATAAATGACACACTGACATTTGGGGCTTATTTTGTCAAAACTCAGATGTATATTGGCTACATTACCCATTGATGTGTATGTGAAGAATGCATAGCAAGTATGTTTTGTGCACGTACATCTATCTAATCACAGAGACAGAGGAACTCCCATGTGCTGCAAGAGCAAAACCCCAGAGATCATCCTCTTTTGAATAACTGGGAAGTCAGAAACAATGACGAACAAAAACAGTGCATTCCATGTCCTTCTATACTTTCTGAATTTTAGGACACATGCATATTTACTTAAAAATAAATCCAATCCAGATGGTATCAGCATTGTGATGAGACAGCTAAAGCTACAACCTGAGCACCAACATCCCATACTGGCACCAGTGCTGCTCCACTTCCAATCCGGCTTCCTGCTATTAACCTGGGAAAAGCAGCAAGTGATGGCCCAAGTGCTTGGTCCCCATCGGGACTCCTAGAAGACATTCTTGTCTCCTGGCTTCCACCTAGTCCAAACCTGGTCAGTGGCCATCTGGGGAGTGAACCAACAGAAGATCTCTGACTCTCCCTCTCTCTGTATAACTCTTTCAAATAACTAAATATTTATATATCATCTGAGCAATATTTTTAAGATAGCAATAGGATTCAGAAATTTTCTAGTATAATCTAAAGATGAAAAGATAAAATGAAAGTAATAGAAGGCATTGCTTTTAGGTTTCTTCCAGGCTGTGAGCCCTGGCCCACCACAGGAAGGATACTGCACAGGTGCAAGCCACTGTGCATCACTGTGTGCCACCCACAGTGCAGTAGTACACAGCAGTGTCCTTCAGGGAAAGCTGGGGCAGGCCCAGGGTGCTAGACTTTCTGTCGGCAGCAATGAACAGAGACGTCGCTTCATGTTCCACATCTACTTTATATCCTTGAATAAGAAACTGTGGTCCCTGGTTGGGAAATTGTTGATACCAGAAGATATATTCATTTGTGGCAATGTCAGGGTGGCTACAGGAAATGTTCACATTTTGTCCTTCAAATGCCTCCATGGAGGTCGTCTGGGTGGTCTTCGCAAGGCTCACAGTGCCTGTGGGAGTAAACACAATGCTAGTGCCAATCCTAAAATCAGGACAAACTGAAACCCCAGACTGTCTGCCACAAACAACATCCCTATGCTTCCTCCCATCCATATACTTTAACAATTCCTTCTTATATGTGCTTCAGGACATATATGCTTTGAGTTTGTTTATTCTAAGGCAGACCCAACACACACGCACACACACACGTGGAAAATCTGTTTTGTCTCTCCTGGGGAAAGAACCCATGAGGCTGTGATGCAGAACATCTTACATAGCCCAAGTCACAGCTCACACAGAGGCTTAGAAGCTGCCTGAGAAAATAAAAACACCCAAGCTCTCTCTCTCTGAACCTTCTAGATAAAAAAAAAAAAAAAAGCAACTGCTAGTAGGCAAGGATGCAGGTCCCCTGTCGAGCATCCTCAAGCCGTCATCCTCGGAGTCTGAAGGTAACTCACCCAAGACCAGAAGCACAGTCACTCTTGTCAGTTCTCTCATAGTCTAGATGTAAATTTGAGCCCAGGCTCCAGGTTTGCTTTCTGAATCCACTTCTAGTCTGGGACTGAAGTCAGTGAGGAAGCAGCAGCAATCACCACAGCACCCTAGCACCTGCCACTCTGGGGCTGTCCCTAGAACAGCCAATAGCGAGGTGCAGCTCTTCACAGGAGTCCTGCTGCTCTAAGTTGAGCTGCACCACCAGGAAGCAGAACAAAAGCTGGCAGAACACAGCCACTTGAGAATCGCTTTGAGTCTTCACTGAGCTCTAACCCTCTCGAGATTTGACTGGAATAAGGCAGATGTGGGAGAGGTTCCTGTTCTGCC